CCCGGGCAAGAAGAAGGCAACGTGTCCTATGTTCTCAAAAGCCGATTCGGCACCTACTGCGACGATGCTGAGAAACTCGGACTCATTGTCCGAGAGTGGCTCCTAAACCCCCGGTTTGAAGTCAAGCTCGACAACATGCGATACAGGTCCGCCAAGTGCGCTAACCCCACCGCCAGCATCGACATCGCTCGGGACATAGGACGCCTCATTGGCCTCAGGGAAGTGCCGTCCGCTCGTTGATGGAGCTACTCATTGACAGTATTTCGCTCAATTATTGCACAACTATTACACGTGGAACACCACAACTACTCTATAACTATCAAAAGACCATGCCCACCAGGGACCATGCCCATCAGGGACCACGCCCACCAGGGACCATGCCCATCAGGGACCATGCCCATCAGGGACCACGCCCACCAGGGCCATGTTCATCATCCGGGAAAAAGACTGAGAAGGGGAAGCTGGGTCGCAGGCGGAGCTCCGATAAAAGGGTCCAGTGCTATTTTCTCCATTTCAAGAACCATACATCTCGGTCTCAGTGCTGTTTTCTCCATTTCAAAAACCGCACGTCTCCAAGTACCCTGCAAAGCGACCAGTGTCAATCGATATCCGACATGTCCACCTAGCGGGTGTGTGTATGTGTGTGGGTACCTGGGATTCTTTCGATTTTGCACGAGCACGAATATGAGGAAGGCGAAGAGCATCCCGCCCACGACACAGAAAGCTATTCCGATGGATGGGTTTCTTCCGCCGACCCAGGACATCTGGCTGAGCATGATGTATTTCCTTCCTGAGAAGGACTCTACAGGGTATCTGTTCACCACATTGATCTCCATAGGTAGCTTCACTTCGTCTTTGATAACACCATACAGCTTGCGGAACTTGGGTAATGCCGCGTTCCTCATCCAAACCATGAAATGAGGGTTCTCCATTTTCCCTGGGAAGATGGACTCATCAAGCCACTGGTCCAACATCTGATACTCAACCGACCCGTCGTCCACTGGGTTTTTGAACTCTGATTCTGCTGACCAAACAATATCGTCTGCTGTTTCATGCAACGTATAGTCCGGCACAGAAATCGTGTCGTTGAACACCGCAGCCGCTGCCAACCCGCAAGGCGTCTTAATTCGGTAACCATCCGACGACAAGGCGAGCGGTTCGCACTCCGTTATCCGCGATTTGTCCGTCACGATTTTGCCACTGCATGATGCTCTTTTTTACGCTGCTGTCTCGCCACCCCGCGCTCTGTGTCGCCAACCCGTGCTGCGTGTCGTTTGCTGCGGTTACTGAAGTTGATCCAGGTTGCGAGAAAGCAAGTATCTCCGGTGGTTCTGGTAGAAACCCTGCAGAACGTAGTACAAGTACAACGGCGGCTTGATGGTGTCCGCGGACGAGGAAAGGGGCCACCGACAGCTGCTCTTGTCTAGCTTGATGACTACATTCTCCACGGACGGCTTTCCTGCCGTGGTCGCCGGTCCTTTATACTCAACCGTACACTCCACTGCATGGTTCGAAACTAATATTAGAGCGACACCTACAGAAAACCTCCGTCGCATCCCCCTGGCTACGGGGTTTCTCCACCCCCTCCCCCACTTCACCCCCC